TCTCTCTCTCTCTCTCTCTCTCTCTCTCTCTCTCTCTCTCTCTCTCTCTCTCCTCCCTCTCTCTCTCTCCCGCTCTCTCTCTGCATGTGTGTATCAGTGTATATCATTTGCATCTTGTGTATTCAATTGAATTTGCCTTGAGGGAAAAATGGGTGTCTGTGGGAGAGCTTACCTGTGTTCACTCTGAACATCAGAAGGGCTTCTGTGATCTTGCAGCAAGGAGATCCCTTAGTAAGGAGTCTGCATAGATGAGGTAAGGCCTGGAGTAGAATGACTGAAGATGGATTGCAGGGTTAAAGGAATAGATGAAGGGGGAAAGGGGCCTGGAGTGCTGCTGCATGTGCAAGGATCAATAGGACATACAGATGTCTTGAGTCTTCACTGCACTTGAGCTGTGCTGATGTCCAGGGGACAGTGGTAGAAACAGTTAATGCTGGTTTTAGGTTGGTATGAGAATGAGACAGGAAAGATAGAGTAACCGAGGGAGACTCTTCACTCCTGAAGTTAATTTGGGTGTCAATCATAACCATCACAGATAGTGACACAGAAGTTTAGAAAGAGTTCTGCAAGTTCTAGGTGACTCACTGGGGAAGCTGACTTCCCTCTTTGCCTGGGCTTGTGGTTTGTAACTGATAATTTTTTTATTCTTCTGACTTCTTCATTTCTGTCACAGGAAGGCCCTCCTACTCCCTCCTTTTCTTCCAAACCTCCTCACTGGGATTTTCCCTCTGTTCCTTTGTCTCTGTACACAGTTCCTGATACGACAGTTCTCAATTCCCTCAGCAATAATGCTCAGGCTGCTCTGTAATGTGCAGGAATATCACTTGCAGACTTTCAAACTGAAGCTGGTAATAATAACCCTCTGCCTTTTTCTTGGGGCACAATAAAGTGTGAGAATCAACTGATTCTGTAACATGCAGGAGTTCATTTATGGATACTTATTTCTGACAATATGAATTGGGATGAGAGAGTGCATTGGTTAATGATATGTAAAATTAAATTAAATTATAAAATAAAAAATACAATAAAAATTTTGTCATCTTGAAGTAGACTTAAAGTCACTTTGGAAATAGGGGTCCTAGGGTCTAATGCTACCCCTCTAAGAGGATACAGGGGGCAAAGTTTGGAACTCCTGACACAGCACTTCCATCCCCTGTTCCCAGCATGTAGTTTGCTGACTTAGGTGTAGGAGGAGGAGGGTCTGTATTTTCATAGACACTGGGCATCTTTGCAGGATCCATCCAGCCCTTTCTCTTCTGGTTCACTTTGGTGTTGCTCACTCCTCCTCCCACAGCTTCATGAAGAACTGTCTGAAGTGTAACTAAGTATTGATAGTGGTTGAAGTTAGGACAACCATTTGTCCCCTGAGGGAGGAGCAATAGTTCTGCTCATGCTTCTATCAGCAATGTCTTCCTTTCATCATGTTTTATGAATTCCTTAGGGTGTATTGGCCTGTTTAAGTAGTTTATCTGGTCTTGATTTAACTTTGTTACATTGTACCTATCCAGAAAATTGTCCATTTCTTTCAGATTTTCCAATATTGTAGAGTATAGGTTCTGAAGTATGACCTGATGATTATCTGGATTTCTGCATTATCTGTTGTTATCTCTCCCTTTTCATGTATGATTTTTGTGATTTGGATCAACAGTCATTAAAAGTCTACCAACCAAAAATGTCCAGGATCAGATGGTTTCAGTGCAGAATTCTACCAGAATTTCAAAGAAGAGCTAATTCCAATACTCTTCAAATTGTTCCACACAATAGAAACAGAAGGGACATTACCAAATTCTTTTTATGAGGCTACAGTTACCCTGATACACATATCACACAACAATGCAATGCAGAAGAGAATTACAGACCAATGTCTCTCATGAACACTGATGCAAAAATACTCAATAAAATATTGGCAAGCTGAATCAAAGAACACATCAAAAATTACCACCATGATCAAGTAGGCTTCATCCAAGGGAAGCAAGGATGGTTCAACATATGAAATTCTGTCAATGTAATACACCACATAAACAAACTGAAAGAAAAAAAACATGATCATCTCCTTAGATGCTGAAAAAGCCTTTGACAAAAAATCCAACACCCCTTAATGATAAAAGTCCTAGAGAGATCAGGAACACAAGGAACATACCTAAACATAATAAAGGCAATTTACAGCAAGCTGACAGCCAACATCAAAATAAATGGAGAGAAACTCAAAGGGATTCCATTAAAATCAGGAGCAAGACAAGGTTGCCTACTTTCCCCATATTTATTCAGTATAATACTTGAAGTTCTAGCTAGAGTAATAAGACAACAAAAGGAGACCAAAGGGATAGAAAATGGAAAGGAAGAAGTCAAACTTTCACTATTTGCAGATGATAAGATAGTATACATTAGTGACCCCAAAAATTCTACCAGGGAACTCCTACAGCTGATAAACTCCTTCAGTAAGGTAGCAGGATACAATATTAACTAAAAAAAATCAGTAGCCCTCCTATATAAATAAAAAAGGGGCTGATAAAGAAATCAGACAAACACCGCCATTTACAATAGCCACAAATAATATAAAATACCTTGAAGTAACTCTAAGCAAGTAAGTGAAGGACCTGTAGGACAAGAACTTTAAGTCACTGAAGAAAGAAATTGAAGAAGATATCAGAAAATGGAAAGATCTCCCATGCTCATAGATAGGCAGGATTATCCTAGTAAAAATGACAATCTTACCAAAATCAATCTACAGATTCAATGCAATCCCCATAAAAATCCCAACACAAATCTTCACAGACCTGCAGAGAACAATACTCAACTTCATATGGAAAAGCAAAAATTCCAGGATAGCTAAAAAAATTTTGTACAACATAACAACCTCTGGAGGCATCATGATCCTTGACTTCAAGCTCTACTCTAGAGCTACAATAATAAAACAGCTTGGTACTGGCATAAAAACCGACATGTGGACCAATGGAATGGAATTGAAGACTCGGACATTAATCTGCACACCTATGAATATATAATTTTTTTTTTACAAAGATACCAAAACTGTACAATAGAAAAAAAAAGAAAGCATCTTCAACAAATGGTGCTGGTATAACTGGATGTCAACATGTAGAAGATTGCAAATAGATCCACATCTGTTCCCATGCACAGAACAGTCCAAGTGGATCAAAGACCTCAACATGAAATCTTGTGAGCTAGTGTTGTGTACAGAGTGGAAAGGACTTAGCACATATAGGCTGGGTGGTATCATGTGTCATCCTAGCTCCTTTTAGCCCTTTCATTGACCTCCATGTAGTAACTATCAGAGAACCCATTTCTAGTGTTCACTCTAAACATCATAAATCAGGATCAGTAAATGTCTCCTGCTACCATGTGCCTACTGGAGTCAGATTAATGTATCATAGGTCCAGTTAGTGTTTTTCATTAGGGCAGAATGAGGTGGTATACTGATGGTGTGGACAATTGTAGACTCCTCAGGACTGCTCAGTTACTAGTTGTGGTGTCACATCTTTGTAAATCCAGCACTTTAGAAGAAGGGGAAGGTGGATATTTTTGAGTTTAAGACCAACCAGGTCTACATAGTGAATTCCAGGACAGCTAGGGCTCTGTAGAGAGACCTTGTCTCAAAACAACAAAAACAACAAAACAACAACAACAACACAAAAAGAAAACAAAAGGATCTTATCAGTTAAAAGGACAAATTGAGTACAGCGTACCCAAATATCTGGACTTTCAGGTCTAGAGAATGAAATATGTAACCTAAGACCTGCTCTATGGTCAGCATCACTGAAGTGTAAATCAAGAAAAGAAACTAGATGAAACAAATTATAGGCTGAAACCTCCCATGAACACAGCTGCAAAATATGGAAAAAATTATTATTTCTCACCATGTAAAGACAGTCATAAACGGTACATATTCTGTGAGATCATGTTTATGAGATTTTGCTAAGTAGTCTATGATGCTGACACTGTGATAAACATTTACTAAATGTGTATTCTTCAGAACATATCCTGTTTATAGCTATGAGAATGCAGTATAAAATGAAAAGAACACCTCACAAAAAAGTAGAATTTACCCAGTCATGGAATCCCATTCAATGTTCAAAACGATATGATATTGATGATAGTAACAAGGTTACAATTAAAAACACACATAATGGGGACAGCTTTTGAGGAAGAGTTAGCATTTGTCAATATCCCACAGCCATTCACCATGGACACTTAGAAAAAAATAGGAACAAAGAACTTCCAGAGTCAGAATTATTTCCCGTGCCAAAACACCAAAGTTATCATCATACTGAATGGCGAGAAAACAGATATTTTGCATTAAATCCTGAAGAAGGTAAGAGAGTCTCCTCTCTTCAAACATTTCCAGCATTGTACTTGAGACTTAGCTAAGACAGAAATGGCATAAAAGTAAAAGGGCATTTCAATACAGGTAAAAAGAAGAGAGAGAAACAAACACCTCTATCATTGTTTGAAGATAACACACGATTTTTTATGTAGAACTTATGAATCATTGCATGATAATTCATCCTAGCAAGGTGTTTCTGAGATGGTTGATCAGCATGCTAATTTCTTTTGCATATATGGAAATAGGCAGTGGGGAGTGGAATAACAATCACATAAATTTCATCCAACTCTCAACCTCACATCTGTGATGTTACATTGCTGTTGTGAAGGTGTCTTTGATGGGGTCATACAGAGTGGTCAGCAAATGCCACAAATCAGAAAATTGTGTTAGGAAAACACCTTTTTTTGTGTCTACACTACCTTAATAATCCTTATTCTACCAGTGTGGTACTATTTGTTTTATATTTTAAAAAAAACTCCATGAAGAATAGGTTTTGAAGACTGAAAGGATGGGGAGTCACAGAGGTGGTTTTGGGGCATCATAGGCAGAGTAATTTGAATTCTTGGCTCTGATTTTACTCATCATTTTGGTATTGAGGCACCTTCCTTGTTTTTGTCAAATAGACAGAGCCTCCTGCCATGGAGAATGTGGCAATGTATAAAAATGGAAAATGACACATGAGAGGGAGGAAAGAAAATATGTATAGAAATGAGGACCCAAGCCAGACTGATGGGACAGCATAATCCCTCACTTTATAGATTCAGAAGTGTTGGTTCAGTAGAAAATGCCCACAGCAGGTGGAGGGACATGAATTGGCTGAGGAAAGATCTCACCAAAATCCTCACACCTTCCTCTTCACCCAAATCACATTTGCATCCTGGACAATTCTCTGACATAAGAAATGGATTTTCTTACAGAAAGCTTGAATCATCAGAATTATTTCTCAGACTCTGGAACCTTGAAAGATTTACTTCTTTCTCTTCTGATGACCTCTCAGCTTCATGGTGGATCTGTCTCTGGTTGCCCCAACCCTCAAAGACCAGAATTGCAATGACTATGAGGATCATGACAGCCATCCTCATTCTGATGAGATTCTCCACTGTGTGATCATGGTTCTCTGAGGCTGTGGTTGTGGACAAAGAAGTTACAGGGGTTAGGAACAGTCAAAATTTCCTCAAGATAACTAAATGCCCCCAAGATTACTAAATGTTCCCAATATAACTAAATATCTAACCAGATATCATGCCTTCCCTGGATGGAGCTTGGTCCCTCCTTTTTCAGGGGTATGATTTTGAATTCTCTTTATTCAAATGTCTTGAGATTGGGCATGTTCTAGGTTGGACTGAGAGTCTCAAATGATACCAAGAACAAAAGAGGAGGAAGAGGATGTGTGCATGCTTAGGAGAACTGAGTGTTTCACTTTCTCATTTACTGTAAATACCCTTCATTCTCATTCTATGAGTTCAGAGAGATCTGTGATGATTCTTTCCCATGGCATAGCTGGTTCCCTCCCCTATTCTTACTAGTTTTTTTTTAGCACCATTGTTCAAACATCAGTGAAAATATCAATTCGGAGTAGAATAAATTATTAAAACATTATTGGCCCTGATCCTAAGTCACTGCACTGAGCAGCCACAGGGCCATTCTGAGTGTGGTGTCTGTATGTCTGGTGAACTCAGCAGAGGTTGTGTGGACTCACATCCTCAGTCTGAGATGATTTCCTAAAGGGGTGTTTTTGCCGAGTGTTTGTTCCATTGTCACACTCAGACACCGCTATCTCTCCTGTGATCTGAGCATTCCCCTGATCCCTTCTGAGTATCCAGGGATCACACAGGGTTTCTTGAGGAGAAATTACCATATAGAATCAGAGGTGAGATATAGTTTCTGCCAATGTTGAGAACCTGTCTACTGTTGCTAATCTTTCCCACATGTTCTTTGCCACATCAGACCAAGAAATTTCTCTCTGTCCAGTTCAGTTAAGAGCACATCGTTCTGATGTAGATTGTCCTACATCTCTTTTCTCTCACATACCATGTACGAAAGCAGGATCAAGGTGTGGGGCAGAGTCATGCAGAGTGTTCTGCAGTCTTAGCTCTCAAACGAAGGTGTGAAGTGACTCTGTGTGTGTATTTGTGTGTGTAAGGTGTGTGTGCATGGTGTGTGTGTGTGTGTGTGTGTGTGTGTGTGTGTGTGTGTACCAGGAAAGACAGTATATAGTAAGACATTGGGGTTTTACCTAATGGTTTCCCCAATAGCTTGAATAGCTCACACTAACCATAGATCCCAAGACTGACATATCTAACTGTTATTTTAGTCATCTTTACACATAATAGTTATTGAGACAAAGAGACAAGGTATAGCGTGAGGAGAGAGTGGTCCCTGTCTCCAATCAGTGTAGGAGACTAATGGGTCAGTGGTGGATCATACCTGGAGTTCCTATCCCTAAACCTCATCTTGTTCAGATGAGCACACCAAGGATTGGCAAAAGACACTCTTATCTGTCACCTCATAAAAGAAGGCTGAACCCATCCATTCTCAGTTCCTCTATTTCACCCTGAAGAGAAAGGTTGCAGACTTCATAATCAATCATCATGATGAATTATATCTTGTATGGTTCAACTATAGATGTGGGTCTGCATTCAACAGAAGGAGAATACAGCAGGCTTTGTAATTACTGCCACAAGGCTTCCTCATCCCCTGGAGACACAGAGACCTATGGGTACACTGAGTGAAAGAGTCTGTGAATACTGATACGTGGAGATGAGCAGAGGTTGTCACTGGGAACAAGCTTTTGCTTAGTGTCTTGAATCTGTCCAAGGCCTCCCCAAAGTGTTCTTTCAGACTAACTGAAACCTTCTGGATTCCACTGGCAAGAAAGAGAGTGAACATTCCTGGAAATATCCATGTTGGACTCCAGCATCATAATGGTGAATATCCAACTGAATGATCCCCTGCAGCAGTTATAATCCAATCCAATCAATAATTTTATTGATGCAGGGTTTATCTGTGTAGGTGCCTGTCCTGGGTCTTGCTTTGTAGACCAGGCTGGCCTCAGACTCACAGAGATCTTTCCGACTCTGTCACCCAATTGCTGAGATTAATGGTGAGTGCCACCAATGGCCGGCCAAACCAATTATTATTGTAGATGGATAATGTTGAGAAACCCCTTCAGCTCAGAATGATTAGAATACTTCACCTAGGACCAAGAGCTGTCCACAAGGGCAATGACACATGACAATAGATAAAGTGATGAGTTGAGGTCTCCATAGCACCTGTAGATGCCTCTGAGAGTGGAGGTCACAGAACTCACAGAGAATACTAGATCCATGCCCCATGATGTAGACAGAAGAAACCTGAATTCTGTGCCATGGCCCTGTGCCTCACCCTTGCACATGTCCCTGCCATTGTGAGACTGATCTGCCACAGAATCAAGTTCTGGATCATTCTTCTGTCAGAAGACACAGCCAAGGTCACCATTGAAGGAAACTTAAAGGTATGGGCCACCCTCTCCATTTTTTATGAAGATTATCAGCAGTCCAGAAACAGAAGGATTTGTCCAAGTCAGCATTTGCATAGCATCTGTATAAAGTCCATAATTAGCTGTTGTCCATCAGGATCCACACGACAACAGAGTCTTTACATACTTTTCTGCTGCCTGACTCCATAGATCTGAGGAGTGTGTTCTCAAGACCTTAGTGGCAGGATGGGGAGGTGAGTGTCTGGGTTTCCTGTTCTCCACTTTACCCAGCTGTCCAGTCCTCCATACTGAGTCTAAAAATCTGTCTCTGTATGTCACAAACTAAACCCTGGGCTTCTTGGGTCTCTGTTGGAATCTCTGTTTACTTCCACACTCACAAGCTGAAGTGACTGAGACATGAGGACGTTTCTGGACTACAAGCTGTGAGGCAGCCTGGGGATGGAGCATACTCCCTGCACTGAGTTACCTGATACTCACCAGCTGTTGGCATAGGTCTTGGGGGTGGTGGGCTGGAGGCTCTAATGGGTCCCAGGAAAAAGAAGAGTAGGAGGGTGAGGTTTAGATGCTAACTCAATGCCCTGCCTGTGCATGCTCTTCTGCATCTGCCCTGTAAACTCCCTAAAATTCTCATGCTGTCTACCCAAACTAGACTGTAGTAGAGGATGGAGTGGACATTACTAGAAAGACAGCTGCTGGCATCCACTTCTCTGGCAGGGAAAGTGCCTTCTGACTAACCTTCCTATTGTCCCCTTAATCCCATCGAAGTCAAGGGGTCTCCTAGGGATTGGATTGTAAGTCACTCTGAGTGTTCAGGGTCACCTCACCTGAGACAATGAGCTCCACAGGGGCACTGGCTTGTGTCAGCAGGTAGGGAGATGAGTCTTTGGAACCATAACACCTGTAGGTGCCCGAGAGGTCAGAGGTCACAGCACTCATGAAGAATTCTGCCTGGAAGTCCCAAGCTTCAGACTTTGATTTTAGTCTCTGGGGTTGTTGGGCAGCTCCCTCCTTGGACAGAATGAAAGTGTCCACTTTGAATGGTGACTGACACAGCAGGGTCACGTTGTCTCCAGAGTGCACTATGGAGTTAGGCTTCACTGAGAGGGAAGGACTGAAGGGAAGCTGTCCTAAAGAGAAGAGGGAGGATGAGAGGCTGCCTTCAATGTTCTGAGCTGACACCTCACCTCTGTATGCCCTGAGCACTTGGGAATCTGTCTATTTTCTCTGACTTAGGCCCATTCCTGTTCTCCTGCCTCTAAAACTCTTTCTTAATAAGATCCCTGTCCCTCATCCCAGCAATCTCCATATTATCTCCCCCATGAGAGCCCATGCAGAGTTTAAGTACCTAGGGGAATCTGTTTAGGTCCTCACCTGTGATGAGGATATCCAGGGGTTCACTGGGTACTGACCACCAGTGTGGGGTATGGTTGTAGTAACCATAACATCTGAATGTGCCTCTGTGGTCTGGAGTTACATGATCTACAGAGAACAAGGCTTGCCACTGCCTAATATTGGGTATAAAATGTGAGTTCAGGGAGATGAGAAACTTCTGGTCATCCTTGGTGAGAATGAACTTCTCATATCCCTCCCATGAGACACACTGGAGGGTCATATTCCTTCCTAAAGTCACCACAGGGCTGGGCAGGACTGACAGGCTGGGTTTATTATGGTAGTAGATACCTAGGAGAGAAGGAGTCAGACTGTTTCATGGCCTCACACAGCCAGAATGCTATCCAGGGCTAGGCTGTGGGAGGGGAATACTCCTGAGAGCAGAGCCTGGTCCTGAGACCCTCACCTGTCACCACAATCTCCAGGGTGTCACTAGGCTCTGACCAGCCAGCTGAGCTGTAACAGTAACAGCGATATTGTCCCCCATGTTGCTGTGTCACAGAAGGGATGGAGAACTTGGCCGTTTTCTCAGGCATCACTGGGGTCTGTGTATCCAAGAGATTTTGGCTTCCCTCTTTATGCAGAACACATATTTCTGCATCCAGGCTCCCCTGACACCTGATGGTCACAACACTTCTGAGAGAAACCACAGAGCCTGGCTCAGCCTTGATGGTGGGTTTGTGGAGGGTCCCTGGAAGAAAATTGAATAGAAGAAGGTGGGTCTGTCTGAAAGTGGCACAGATAAAGTCACACTTGCAGATGGCACTTTTTTTCTTTTAAATGAATTCATACAATGTATTCTGACAGCATCCTCCCTCATCCTTTCTCCCCTAGATCCACTACTCTGTTTCCCTTCAGAAAAGATCAAGTTTCCCAGTGATATTATCTGAACATGGCATGACAAACATGCAATAAGACTAGTCACACACCCTCATTTTAAGACTGGACAAGGGAATCCAGGAGGAGGAAAAATATCCCACGTGCAGGCAAAAGAGTCAGAGAATTCCCCACTTCCATTGTTATGGGTCTAACAAAAACCCAGAGCTAGCCAGGCAGTGGTGGTGCAGGTCTTTAACCCCAATACTCCGTAGGCAGATGCCACAGATGTCTGTGGGTTCAAGGCCAGCCTGGTCTACAAGTGAGTTCCAGGACAGCCAGAGCTACACAGTGAAACTCTAAAAAACAAAACAAGAAAGAACCCAAGGTAAACAACCACAGCATGTGTGCAGAGGGCCTAGGGCAGACCCATGCAGGCTCTGTGCTTGATGTTTTAGTCTCTGTGAGTCCTTATTATCCCTGCTTAGTTGATTGTGTGGTCCATGTTCTCCTGATGTCCTGAGTGCTCTGGCTCCTGCAACCCTTCCTCCCTCTCTTCTGCGGGGTTCCTGTAGCTGTTGTGGATGGCACATGAGCTGATGCAGAGTAACAGAAGGCCCCATAAGGATTCATCTCCGTCCTGGACCTCCTGGGCTTTGCTGTCACCCTCTGCCTTGGATTCTGTTTCTTGTGTCCCACTCTCTACCATGCTCTGTGTCATGGGCTTAGGAGCCCTGGCACCTCACACACACCACATACCAAGGCCTCCCTGAGCATCTGTATCATTTCAGCATCATTCTAGGGAAAGGCTGGGGTTCCTCACCTGAGACCAGGAGCTCCAGGGGGTCACTAGGTTCTGACCACACCTGTGGGCTGTTCTTGTTAACGCTGTAACATCTGAATGTCCACCTTTGGCTGGAGGTCACAGGGCCCACAGAGAACAGAGCCCAGAACTCTCTAGTAGAGTAGTTATACTGTGAGTCCAGTTTCCAGGCGTGCTTCTGAGGTCCTTCCTTAATCAGAATGAACCTGTGATATGACTGCCCTGAGACACACTGGAGGGTGACAGTCCCTCTTTCAGTTACCACAGGGCTGGGCTGGGCTGACAGGCTGGGTTTACTGTAGACTCCTAGGAGAGAAACAGGAATCAGTAAATGTTCTCAAGGTCTCATTATCTCCCATGATATGAGGTGGGGGACATTCTTGTGAACAGACCCACTTCTTGACTGTCAAGCCTGAGTCTGTGGACCCTATGTGTTCTCTCACCTGTCACCACCAGATCCAGCGCGTCACTCTCCCTTGACCATCCATCATGGGTCTGATATTGACAGCTATATCGCCCTGCATGGTAACGGTCTATTTTTGAGATTGAGAATTCAGCCTTGTTCCTAGGACTCTGTGGAATCTCTGTGCTCCATAGAATCTGGTATCCCCCTTTATAGAGTATGTATTCTTTGGCTTCTGTGGTCCCCTCACACAAGAAGATTACGGTAGTATGTTGAGACACTACAGAGGCTGGTTGTGCTCTGAGGATAGGCTTAGGGAGGGCCCCTGCAAGAAAATGAGCAGCTATGACCAAGGACAGCCAGCCTCAGATTTCAGGCCCATCCCCAACCCTCCAGTCATCCCCAGGGGCAGCACACATGTGTTGTCCTCACTGCCCAGGCATGGCTGCAGGAATGATGAGAAGTGAAGGTCAGGACATCTGCAGACACTCACTCACCTGCCAGCACTGGGGTCCCCAGG